TTGACAGGACTCATTCTCCTTTACTGTCACTTGCCCTCTGTCCCCCACTGGTCACCCCATTTTCCTGGAGAGAAACTGTTAAAGCTTCTCTATGGAGAGCATTGGCTGTTCTTCCAGAGGATCCAATTCCCAGCACCCACAGGCCAGCTGACCAGTCTCTGATTCAGGGGATCTGATGTTCTCTTCTGGTCACCTTGGTCACTGTACACCATGTGGTACCCAGACATACATGCAGACAAAACACTCAAACACATAATTTTTAAAAAATGTAAAAAAGTAATTATTTCCAGGAATGATTCCAGTAGTGTGGCAATCTGTTTGGTTTTTTTTGTTTGTTTGTTTTTTGTTTTGTTTTTTGGTTTTTGGTTTTTGTCTCTCAAATCTACCTCTGCTCATTTCTTAGTGAAAAAAAAAATGTCATTTCAATTTACTCTATTTCCAAGAAAAATTTTTTCCAAAATAAAGCTGCTACCCAGACATCCACAGGGAACATTCTCTCTCTCTCTCTTTCTCTGTCTCTGTCTCTCTCTGTCTCTCTGTATGTGGTGTGGTGTGTGTGTGTGTGTGCGGTATATGTGTGTGGAGGCCAGAGGCTGACACGCAGTTCTCTCTTCAATTACTCTCCATTTTATTTTTTGAGATTCTGCTAGCCTGGCTGCCCAGGAAGCTCTCGGGGATCTACCTGTCTCTATCTCCCAGCACCGGGTTAACAAAAGCAGTGCCAACATTTCTGGTTTTTACGGCAAACACTTTGCCAGCTGAGCCATCTCCCTTCATGCCCTCCAACCACCATGAAGAGTGAATTTGAAAGCCAGGCCTTGTGACAGAGGTCTGTGATCTCAGCTAATCACAGGCTGAGGAAGGAGTGGTCAAAATGGCAAGGCCTGTCTGTGCAACTTAGCATGATAAAACAAACAAAAAAGGGCTGAAGAGATGGCTCAGTGGTTAAGTGCCATTGATACCACCATTCTAAAAGGTGAAGCATACTCAGGTCACCCATGCTCAGTTCCTCTAGGCTTCTCTGAGAGTTACAGGAAGTAAGATCATGCTTCACCATCTGTCATAATTTGGATATAAAATGTCCCCAGGGGCTCTTGTATTTGAATTCTTAGTCAGCTGGTAGCACTGTTTTGGGAGTTTGTGAGCCCTTTAGAAGGGGGACCTGGCTTGAGAAAATCAGTTTCTGGTGTGTGCGTGTGTGTTGTAGTGTATGTGGCGAGTGTGTGTGTGTGTGTTGTGGTGTCTGTGATCTGTATGTATGTGTGGTATGTGGCATAGTATGTGGTGTGGTGTGATGTGTGTGTGTGTATATGTGGTGTGGAGTCTGTATGGTATGTGAGTGTTTGTGGCATTGTGTGTGTGGT